TCTGAAGTGATCATACCCGGGCACAACAGAGATAGTTCGCTGAATCTCGATATGTAAGCATCGATGTTCCCATTCTGCACCGTGAGATTCCATAGTTCCTGCTCCATCTTCTGTATTTCGCCTCGGGGCAGTACTCAGCCGTCAACATCTCTTTCATCTCTGCCCAGGGAATAGAGTTGGCGACCGGGAGTGTCATGGCTTCCACATGACCATTCCACCAAGTGAGTGCTTGGTCCACCAAAGTGCAGGCCGCGAACTTCACTTTCATCTGCTCGGGGCACTCGCATATCTCGAATACCGACTCTACCTTCTCGATCCATCGCTTTAGGGCGATCACTCCTCCGGTACCGTTGAAAGTTCGGGGTTTAGCGTTCGCAAAATCCTTGTAGGTGCACGTTTTAGTGAGTCCTTGGTTCGCCCCGTTGTTCGAACTTCCAGATCCTTGCCCGTTACCTCCTCCGTTGTTTCCTCGGTGAAGTTGTGCCATCGCTGCTGTGACTGCAGCCGACACGGCTGCCTGGAAAGCAGTGGAGTCAGCTTCGGGCGGGGTTGGTCCTGGGTTTCCGCGAGTAGTTGGGCGAGGCATCTTTCTGTCATGAAACGGAAAGATGTTGAGTGTTCGTGGTTTCCGTGAGGTGGCGACTCTACTAACTAGGTGTATGGTACGAACCTAAACATTACTATCATCAAGCATGCAATCATAATGTCTCAACACATAACAACTGAGAATATCATAGCAAAACACACAAAAGTTTATTAATATTATCCGCATTTAGTACAAGAAAATTTGCTCGTAGGAGCATACATAATAATGCTAATCCGACAGCATAACGGCTCCATGAGTAGTGTAGTCACTTAAACATAGAGCCGGAGTACATAACATAGTTCCTAATAACTACTATATAAGTCTATTCCTAACCGCGATGAGCTGCGTCAGGAGGTGGTGCCGAAGATGTGGATGCTCCCTGAAGACGAGCAACCAAGCGTTCCGCGTCCCGGAGTCGAGACTCCCACCGAACCTGTCTCATGTGAAACTCTCGAAGGACGTCACGCGTCTCCTGCTCCGCACGCTCGACCCTAGTCCTCAATTGGTGTACCTGATCCGCAGTGTCCTGGGCAAGATCGCCCGTATTCCGTAACCGTTTCACCATGACTGGAAGGGCTCGATCGCCGGCCTCCATCTCTCAGGTCAAAGAACTCGCGTGACATGCCATACGGGGGTCGCTGTCCCTGCTGTCTGCTCCATCTCCAGAGGTCCATACCCCAGGGAGGTGTAGGGCCAGTGGGGCCCACTCGATATGCAGGCACCCGGATTGGGTAAGGGGGGTTGATGACTTCGGACTCCGCATCCGAATCACCCCCGTCGCTATCATCGAGCTCCTCTTCGAAATGCTCTTCGTCTTCTTCGGGTTCGACAGGCTCGCCTTCGGCTTCTGCCTCCGGTTCCCCGTCAGGTTCCTCCTCGGGGTCCTCCTCGGGTTCCTCTTCAGGCTCTTCCTCAGGTTCCTCCTCAGGCTCCTCCTCAGGTTCCTCCTCGGACTCCTCTAGCCACCGTTGTTTCCCTGATTAGGGAAGTAGGGGTCTCCCGGGTGATGAAAACCAGCCATGCTGTCTGCGCGAGTACGTAAATATACTACATTATCCTAGGATGCTATATCTATCATACATACTAAGCAACATTCTCTTTTTGGGTGATAAGGGTATAGTTTTTGGTTCCCTGGCTATCCCGATCTCATCAAGACGTGTGTTAGTTTTACCTTGGAGAGAACGTAGTTGATCAGGCTACATTCACTCCTTGGTATCCCTAAGAACAGTCCCGAATTAACCAAGATACCAGTATTATTGTGTTTGATTCAGCGTTAGGTCTTATTCCTAATGCAAGCAAGTGTGTTTTATTTACTCGTTCTGTTCAGAGTTATGTTAGTCCCTCTTTTTGGTTTATAGTTGCATATCAATGTATGGCTCGACATGCTAGTTCACTATAAACAAAGCTCTGATACCAACCTGTCACACCCCCGAACCAGACGGCGGAAACGTCCGGGGGCTGTCGTGACTCAATTGAATACCATAACATTGAATATATATGAAACATAACAACATTCGTCACCATTCATCAACATAGTACAACCAGTAGTGTTTACATAACATACATTGTTTAAACATTACATTCCCCAAAAATTAAGTTGTTTAATTCATACAAAAAAAACCGCAACCGTCACTGGATATGATTTCCCTTGATTCACTGGCTCCCTGAGAATACAAGTATTTTGAAAAACGTCAACATATGAAATGTTGGTGAGTTCATAAGTAGTGTTTGAAATCGAATGTTTGTATTGTTTGAAGAACCACCAGAAAATCCGATATTTTCTGAAAAGATAAGTTTCCGAAAACGTTTGTGAAGATCCATAGGTATGCTTGTTTTTTCTATACTTGTAAAAAAAATGTTCGTTTAGAATGTATGCATTTCAAATTTGTAAGTATTGAAAACCCTAGGAAAACCCGATGTTCTCCTAGTTCCTTGAATTACGTGATGTTACATTGAAACCATTGCATAGCGTATAGTGTCAGTCCCGGCGACGTTGGAAGGTTTTCGAGCAGGATTATTTACTACAAACCCGCGTTACACAAACGCCCAGTTTATAGTTATACTAACGACTCCGAAGGCGTCGTCAATACTAATCGCGTTATCCAATCGCCCTGACTAGGTGAAGTCCCACATCCGAAGAGAAAGAGGTCACGAAGACCCCGGTAACTCCATTAGCCGGTTGGGGATAAAATGTACGAGGGGTCCCAGACCCGCCTCGCATGAAATGTAGACCTTACTAGCAAGACCAAAGGACCCTTGGGGACCGGTGGTATACAAGCCATTGAAAGTCCATTTACGTTGTGTCGGATCGGTAAAACCCAACACTCCGTAAAAAAAATGTCTTCGGGCCTTAAGATCAGGTCATTGGGCTAGCTAGGCTCAACGAACAAGATTTTACACTTGTGGGGCCCAAAGATGGTGCATAGACGTCTGTGCACACTCGCATGTGTATGTATAACCAAACGTTACTTGTATGAATTGTAGTGTCGTAGTGTTAGTAGTTGTAGATTTCTATTGGCTCGAGACCGAGCCAATTCGTTTAACAACGACTTTTGGTATTGTAATGTATTGTATTCCGTTGATAGTCGTGGTGCCATCATTTGATCAAATTGGGTATATTGAACTAGCCTTGAAATATTCCTGTTTTCAGCCCCTCATCATTTGTAAAATTTACATTTTCAACCCTTTATATTAAATACTTCCCGGTTTAGTCCTTAAACTATTTTTCTTGACATTTTAACACCAAAAATTATTGAAATTAATATTTTTCAACATATTTTTCATAAAAACAGTTTAAGTCCTTGAAAATGCAGTTTTCACGGTTTTAACCCCTTCTTTTCGCAATTTTTACAATTTTGGCCCAATTTGGAAAATTTTTGCAACTTTGGTCCTTTTTAAATTTAAAAAGCATTTTAAACCTTTGAAAAGGAGTTGGAACACTTATAGTCCACTGTTTTACAGAAAGTTACAGTTTTGGCCCTCCAAAACAGAAAAATTCGCATAATGGGCCTTATTGGGCCGAAAGTTACATTTTTAACCCATTAAGCTTAAAATTTATGTTTTAGTCCCCTAAATGAGTATATTTCCAGAAATTTATTTATGAAAACTGTTTTGGCACACTTCATCCATCAGAATCTGTGACATGTCGATTTGGGCCCTTATTTTTGCATTTTTCACATTTTAGGCCCAAAATTTGTGTTTTTAACCCAAAGAAATTATTGCTAAACTACTTAGCCAATTTTTCTTGAAGCACTTTGTGTTTAGAAATATATTTGAAGTTAAAATCATGTAGCACAAGTTATATCTCGGTTTTGATGAGTTTTGAGGCTAGATCCAACATAAAAACACATAAAAGCATACATATAAGCATGGAAATCATACAAGGCATACAAACACATATAGATCTACACTTTCACTTGTATTCCCCCCCCACAAAACTCATAAAAACAGAAAATAGGGGGTATGAAGCTCACCTTGGGTGTTGATTCGGTTTTGCAAGGAAAATGGAAGGAAAAATGAAGTGTTTTGGCCTTGGCTCCCTTTGATGAAGATCTCGAGTTTTGAGATGGTTCTAGGGTGCAAAATCACGATTTTTGCATAGATTAGGAAAGGATTTTGATAACAAAAGAATTTAAACCATAGATCTATGCATAATCTTACCTTAGATGATGATTTACTTGCAAAATCCTCTTGGAAAGTCCCTAATTTTCGAGATTTTTGGAGAGGGGAGGAAGAGAGTTCTTGAGTGTTCTAGAGAGAATTTGAGATATTTTTGGTGTGTGTGAGAGGGGATTCGGCCGAGAGTGGGAAGAGAGAAGAGAGGAAGTGATATTTGAAGTGATACATGCATGGAGGTATGTGATATGTGCCTAGAAATCCATTAGATAATAGTGAGGTGTCACTCACTAGTCAACATGCTTCCTTTCCTCTTGGGCTCATGCATTGGGCCGAGAATGGGGAGAGAAGAAGGAAAAATTGGGCTCTTTGCCCCTAAGCCCAACATTAGAGGTAGTTTAGGGTATTTATTGGCCTTATAAAATAAAATTGTGATTTTTATGCTTTATTAAGCTAGGTTAGGTTAAATTATGGATCAAAACTTGTGTTTTATTTCATTCTAGGTTCTACCTAGCCCAAAATATTGCAATAAACGAATGTGGGTCCAATTAGAACCCAATTAGGGTCCTAAACCCATGATAGTCCAATTTGGAAATTCATTGGTCCATTTGGATCCAATAAGGAAGTCCTAGTCCTAGATGGACTTAACAAGAACTTCTAGGGTCTCCAATTGTTTGATGACTACTTATAGTACTTGTATCTTGTATTTGATTGAAGTTTTTGATTCACATGTACTTGAATGCATAGATTACATGGCTCAAAATTTATAGTTGTGACACCAAAGGTCCTTGTTGAATACATGCCTCTCGAATCAAATCAGGTAGAGGAGGACCTCGAGGTGAACCTATTTCGCATATTATATCCCGTCCTTATTCATGTCAATAATACCTTCGGTGGTAGTTCTGTTGGTTCTGGCTCCGACGACTTCTATCAGGTTTTTGGTCTAGCATCTTTTAATACTTCATTTGAAATTGCAATCGACACTTGCCTCTTGTATTATTCCCATAATAATTCATGAATGAAATTGATAGGTTGTAACAATGGCTCCTATGGCCTTATTCAACCCTCTATCGTCGGTTCTCCTAAAAAAATTAAAGTCCCCATCCTATCTGGAACCAATAAACGAACAACAACCTTTATTCTTCCTTTTCATTGTGTTTTGTTTCTTCTGGATGTCTGGTTAATTCTGATAATTAGGGCTTCCATTTTTTCTCTTAGGTATCTTTATTTTCTCCTATTTCAACGACTGCACAATGATGCAATGCTACAAAGGAACGAAATTTGGGGAGCTAGATCCTCATGTTTTGCAATTGCAGATTCTGCTTTAGGTTATCTCCTCTCCCCACCTCTTTATTTTATAATGAACATCATTTGACTTCGCCATAAAATGTCATTTCATTTTCCTTACACAGAGGATATGTGAGTTCATTAGAAGCTGAGAGTTATATTGGAGTTGTGCTCGTTCCTAGGGTAAATAAAGGTGATCTGGTGCAAACGACAAAAGTAGGAGCCGATTGCTCAGAATTTTGGGACAACGAACGTGAAGATAGAACTACATTTACCGATTTACTCTCCAACATGATTCACAGTCTTGTATATGATCTAATGGCAGCCTTACTTCTGCGTACAGGTCTCATGACTGCTCTCCACTTCTTAGTTCATGCTCTCAACCTTTTAATTTGCAGAATTCACAGTTAACATTACACAATTCACATTTCCATTTTTCTCCCTTTCCTTGTTTCCTACCCCCCCCCCCTTCTGTTCTCCTACTTTGCCTTCTACTATAGTGGTTTTTACTGATTCTAGGAAGGTTGTGCAATTTTGTTTACGCTTTGAGGCTTATTTCCTTTCAGTAACTTCTTTTACCATCATATATTTAAATTTTTTTGCATTGAGTGTTTCTATTAAGGATAAACAGAATTATTAGGGTTTGTTTTTGTGGGGGTTGAAATCTGTTAGGGAATTTGCCAACAGTCAGTTTTTCAAAACGTTCGTGGTTATGTTTGTTATCGGTGTCCTGTTTTTTCACACCATCAAGTTTTAGAATGTGATTACAATCCGTCTTTTTTTTTTTGTAAATATGGTTTACCTTTTTGTTAATTGATTCTTTTTTTTTTAAAAAGAGCATGTTAATTAAATACTTACAAAAGTTGATTCTTTACATATACCATTCCAGCAAATAATAGTTTTGTTAATTGGTTTTTTAAATTTACCATTCCAACATTTGAAGGGATATTCCACGAAAAAATTGTTTCTATCTTGATATCATACCTATGGTACAAAAATTGTAGTCAAAAATAGGAAAAATAAAATAAAATTGCTTCTGAACCTTGTGATTACAGATAAAGAGCATACACAGAAGAAATCCTACTACTATGCTTCAAAACCATTATCAAACTTATGCTTTTTAGCGTCATTATTTTCATTATTGAGATTAACATTTATTTGTTGGTTACTTTGTATCCAATTGCAGAAAGTAGTTGTGAAATTGGGTGTACACAACGATAAAGAAAAACAGAGGGCTATGAAAGCAACTTCCAGCCTTGCAGGTTAATATTGTGTTTGTTTTGTTTCCATTCTATTTGCATTTCAGTGCATCAGTTTGACTAAATTTTTTATCCAAATATTTATAGGTCTAGAGCCTAGAAGGATTGCTTTGGTCTCAGTGTATTAGTGAACTGTTTATAGGTTTGTGAATTTTACCCTTTCCCCATACTTCTCCTTCTGCTTCTGTTTCTAGGACTATTGTTTGTGCTAACTTTTTTTTTCTTTCTTCTTTTTTGTTTTGTTTTCAGGCTTATTACCTGTTAGCGGTTGCTTTTACCATCATTTACAAAAACTAAACAGCATCCTTAGAACATCTTAGGTGTCTAGACCTTATACTATTGGTCACTCATGTCAATTCAGACTACACCATCAACAAACAAACTTGGTTCGCTTATAAGACACCATCAACATATCTTCCTGTTAATTATTTGATGTTGACAATCTGTAACTTAACTAGCCATTAAAAAAATAAAGAATATTGCTAACTGTTTCAGATTGTCTGGCCCTAGTGTAGGTTGGAACTTACTGCTGCAGAAAAGGATGGATTTTTCTCTGAGGTAAGTCCCTGAAGTAAATTCATCCTTGTTAAAACTAATTATTATAATTTTTAATTCATAGCTGGAAACTTCATTTTTTTGTGCCTGAAATTAATTGTAATTTGTTGGCTTCAGATAAATATGGCTATTGCTGGGAACCATGGACTAGAAGTGCAGTTCATTGGACTCAGTTTCCTTGAGTCACTGGTATATGTTTCATCATGTTATTGAGTACCAATTTTCATTTATACAAAGTTCTCATGCTAAAAAATAATGTTGCAGGTGTCTGAATTTTCTCCATCATGTTATTGATTATCTTAAGGTTTTTCATTTTGTTTATCATCATCTCATTAAACCATTTCCTATAACAACATATTTTCAGGAGCTGTTTATTTTCTTTTCTCATTATGTCCTGTATGGGTAATGATGTCTCTCTAGATAAAGTATTGTATACATGATGTCTGTTTCCAAACCAAATAAACCGTATGAATGAGACTAAATGACCATTTCACCCTTACATTCGAAAAGACAAATAGATTTTTTTGCTTGACCTAATAAGTCATATGTCTAGTTTAAGTGCTTAACCAATTAAGCTCATTAAGTAAAAAAGAAAACCCCCTAGGTTTTTTTTTTTTTTTAATGAGGTTTTCTGCTTTGAGTATATAAAGCAGATGGACTGCATGGCATTGCACTAAAATGATTATATATCCCACTTGTATGAAGTTCATACAAGTGTATAAAGAATAAAAGAAACTCAAATGTAAAGGATTTTGAAAGTTGTACATGATTGGACCCTATAAAAATTATCTTTTTGCTAACCAATTTCTCATATTTTATTCTTTTTCTCTGTTAATTCCACATAATTTTGATTGTTGGGCACTGGGGGCTGCAAAAAATGTTACTACTAAAATTAAAAATTCTGATGCTTCTGTCTCAGAAGCAAGAGTTTGTACAACTGCACTCCAGTTCATGCTTCAAGTTCTTAATTGGGACTTTAGTAGCAGTGGTAGAGTTGCAAAAAATAGCATAGATGTTTATTCCTTTGTTGCTAAAGAAGATACTAACTCCACTTATACACTAGTCCAGGTAATACTTTATTTATTTATTTTGGTTTTGTGTTACATTTGAAAGCAACATGTGCATTTTAGATACAAACTCCACTTATACATAGATGTAATTTTGTGGAATTCCAATTGCAGTCTATAACATTTTACCATGAGTATAACTAATATTATACATTTCTTGAAGCCTGTCATTTCTTGCAGATATATTGTTTCATTCACTTAAAGAGACAAGTGAATGAAACTAAGAATACAAGTGTATAACTAATATTACACAGGCAGTCTTTGTTTGGCAGCGTGGACAAACTTGTAGCACCCGATCATTCATGCCACTCTTTGGTAAAACAAACTTATAGTGTAGTTCTTCCAATTTCAGTCTTTGTTTCTTGTGCAATTTTACTTTAGGAGATATTTGACTTTGTTAAATATTTAAAGTTACAGGACATGAGTACGGGCACATCTTGGAAAAATTTAGGGCAGTTGTTGGTCTTCCTCTTGGTGGTCCATCAATGAAGTGGCCAACTTGCATCATGTAATAACATTTTAGGCGAAGATGTAAGTATATATTTGTTTAATGAATAATGTAGTCATATGTATGAATATGAAATAAAGCTTGTTATTTAGTATGTGATAATCATGTATAGGCAGAAAACAACTTCTATTGATATGTTTTATCCTTCCAAGGATCGATTATTTGTATGAAATTAAATTTTATGCAATGGATTATATTTTTTGTATATGGTATTTTATTTTATAATATGAGAAGTTAAATGAAAATCTAATTTGACAATTAGAAAATCTATAAATAATATATATATTTTTTTTAACTTTTAAAATTATGATACGCAAAAATGTGTATCGTCTTCATTTACGACATGGCCTTTCTTGACGGGGGCTTTCTTGATACGCATTGCGTGTCATTAACACGCGCATCGTAAGGTTACGACATGCGAATGCGTGTCATCCTCCTTTATGACAGGGCCTTCCTTGATATGCAATGCGTGTCGTAAATGCGCGTCGTAAATGTGCGTCGTAAATGAGCGTCGTAAATGCGCGTCGTCTATAGACGACGCGCAAAGCGCATCGTATCTCTTTATGACAGGGCCTTCCTTGACGCGCATTTGCGCATCGTTTGAGCCTTTTACGACGCGCAATGAGCGTCGTAAAAGGCTGTTTTTCTAGTAGTGTACTCAGGTGAGTGCATGGTCCCTTTCATCTTACACATAGATATGAAGTATTTTATTATAAATTACGTGCTATGTGTGCATATTGTCTGAATACTTGTTGTCTATGCTGATGAAAGATTTTTATACATGTTTTAAATGATGTAAACTGTATAAAGTATTTTATATCTACAAAATATGTTGGGTAAAACATGGGTAGATGAATAATGAGCGATAAAAGTTGATATAGAGGAACATTAGTAGCATGGACCTAGTGCCCTATGAGTATACATTGGCAGCACTGGACCTAGTACCCTATAGATGAGCACTGGCAGCTGCGCCACAACCCGTAGATGTTTTAGATCTACGGTAAATGTCCTAGCAGCTGCGCTCTAAGGACAGTATCGGCAGCTGCGCCTAATGGGGAGCCTTATGACCATGACAGTAGCGTTTAAAGGTCAATACTGGTAGAAGCACCTCATAGAAAATGTCCCAATTCTGCCAGCTGTGCCTAAGTGACAAGATTAGCAGCTGCGCTTGACCAATGTGTCATTGGCAACAATGAACTTCACGTTGTTTCCTTAGGATGATCCTTAGGAATGAATGAACAAGAAATAACTGATTCTTAGGGTAGATCCTTAAGAATAAAGAAGATAATAGGGATGGGTAATTGGGTTAACTGTTTGATGATTAAACATAATAATTATATTATTGTGGGTTGAAAACCCTATGTACTCACCAGGTTTCCCAACCTGACCCACTCAGTTTATTTACATCACAGGTGGCGATATGAAGTGACATTACACTGAGAGATTTAAAGAGATGTAGATCACTACTGTAAATAATTGTAAGTTCTGTTTATGCTTATGTTTCTGTATTAACGATGACATCCCAAACGTTTTAAGATGAATAAAAACACGTTTCTTCGAAAATGTTTTAATAACGTATTTATCGTGTTTTTCTGGGAACAAATTCCGCAACCTTTTTATAAAATGAAGTACTCTGATTTTTATATAGCATAAACAAAAAAAAAATCGGTCTTTTCTGGCCGTGATTTTGGGGATGTCACATCCTAGCACTTGACCAAAGTGTTTTCCTCGCATTAGGATGTTTATACTTGTTTAATTAGTGTTATAATCACTAATTGTTTATATACATATGTATTCATATGTAATTAGGACCATTGTTTGTGTCTGAAGTCTTCACTTGACACCTAGCAGTCCTACCTCTTCAGTTCATCCGTATCACCCACAACAAGTGAGTTCTGTTGGATTAATGTCTAAGTCCATAACTATAATTGGTAAGACTTGATCTGACCCGGCATGGTCCATTTGGGTTGCATGTCATCATGCATTCAGATAGACTATAATGAGATAAATAACACTTAAGGATTATTTAATATATTATATGTTCTAATATAATAATAGGATTATTTAATTAGTATTGATCAAGAATTAATTTAGAATTAATTAAGTGATCAAAAGAGGACTAATTAAATGTATGGTTTGACTGTGTAAATCATCGATACTTGTATAGTGGGCTAATGCTCCATGGATTATCAAGTTCAGCTAAAACCCATAGGATGCTCCATGGTGTATTTGAACCCATGGATCCAAGGAAATGGAAAGCCATGACAATTAAGGGTTTACCCTAATTGTAACACTATATAAAGATCATATTCTTGGGAAAATCGGCCACTATGAGTGAGTGATAGGGCTAGCCGGTTTTCATGAAGTGTAGAATTCTCTCAAGTTATTCCAAGTGTATTAGGTGTTGTATGAACCATTTGAGGTGTCACACTTGAGGCACTATGCACTCAAGCTTCATGAAGACATTCTACATCAAAGAGGTATGTATTCTATCTTCCTATAGTCATTGTTTTGTATGCTAGATTAGGATAATACCTTGGATGTTCATATTTGCATGTATAATAGAGAAAACATAGATCCAAGATATATAGGGTTGCATGTCCACTTAGGAGTGTTAGAATGCTCAAAAACCAACAGTGGTATCAGAGCCTAGGCTTTTTTTCTTGTAATACTTGCAAAACTGCTTAAAAAATCGAAGTTGTTGCTGTCTGATCATTAGACTCGGCGAGTCCATCAGGAGACTCGGCGAGTCCATGCCTAAAATGTGATCAAATCGATCCAACTCGCCGAGTTGGTTCATGCACTCGATGAGTTGGACCCCCAAACAACATAAATTCGACTTTTTTGGCTGGAATTGGACTAGGAACATTACCCTAAGATGTTTTTGGAGTTATAAACTTGATTTTGATGTCGTAATGTTCACGCTAATCCAATTTCAAAGATAATTGTCAATAGATTCATGTTTTGTATTAGTTTAAAGTTTAGACTAATTACATGAAAAAGTTTGATTTGAATTATGTTGTTCTTATGAGTTGCTTAGATTAATAGAAAAGTTAATTGATTATGTGTTTGATCCATTTTAATCTAAGAGTTGATGCTAAAATGTGTTTTTGTAACTTGTCCTCAAGTTATATTAAAAGACACATTTAGGATTCATAAAACTCATAAAAGTTGGCAATGGTTGCAAAAAATGAAGAGTCTTGTCATCATTAATTGTATTTATGACTCCATAACTTGTCCTCAAGTTATGGAGGTTCAAGAGTCACTTCATTAAAGTATAAAGTGTGTAACCATAATAATTCCATAAGTTATAAAATAAAGAAAAGTTATTTTTTTTATTAATTAGTATAAAGTCTTCCATAACTTGTCCTCAAGATATGGAACTTGAAGAGTTTTTTAATTAAAACTACTTTAAACACATAAGTTATGGAATTAATTAGTTTTGAATATTTTCAAAACTTGCCCTCAAGTTTTGGAATTTCAAAAGTTTTCTCTTATGAATACTTTAATTCCAAGTTAATCCTTTAGAATTTTAAGAGTTAAAACTCAACCCTTATACTTTATAATATTATAAGTTAATAATATTTATATATATGTATAAGAGTAAAGTCAGTCTTACCGTTAGTAGGTTTCACAACTGGAAATTTTGTGTCATGTAATCTATACATTCAAGCTTATGTGAATCAAAAACTTCAATCAAATACATCATACAAATACTA